CGAAACACTCGCATTTAATTAACATCTTCTGAAACTAAATTAAATTAAATTGAAAGAAATAATACGGGGTATCAGTGATTAGATTTGTAGAAACTCGGCAGAGCTTCGCGCCAAGTATGTATATAAGCGAAAGGCTCGCCTTGTATTTGTTTTCGAGTTCAACTTGGTGTTTTTGTCTCTCGGCTTTTTCATTCTCCAGATCTTTGAGATGCAAATCTTTCAGGTATTTCTTTAAACGAAATGAATAAAAATGACGCTTTCGGTATCGTGGCCATGATCTTTGAACGCGTCGTCATGTGCATTGTTAATCAGCATTCTACAGGGACTCATTTTAAGTGGGTGTGCCTTGCGCCCACGCGAAGATGGTCTTTAGAGGTTATGTTCGACAGTACTTGATCCTATCACTGTTTCGAGCGACAGCTGCTTTAGAAAATAAAAGTGATGTCATTAAGAACCTTCTATTTAAATTTACCAATATTTTAAGATTGACCAATTGTGGGGTGACATAAAATAAAATGTTTAGAAATTCCAACGGCCTCAGGTCTTCTCAGGATTTTTGGCGCGAAAACGAAATTTCAAACTTGTGCATTAAAATATATTACCGTATGAATATTTTGAATATCTTCTACTCACTTGGTTATTCACTCGGATTTTTTTAATGGCCATTTACTTGAACTAATTAATGAATATAAATAATAACAACGACAATGACGATGACGATGATTATTTACTTGAATTAATTCATGAATGTAATGGTTTTACATGCATTAGGGTGCATTAATTAAATAATAGAATCTAACAATTCATCCCGACATTTTCAGTTTTGGGTTGCGTACACAAATTGCAACTCGCAATACAAAGATGCGGTGCAATTGACTTTGAGGCAGATCGACGTGATAAGGCGACTGATACGGCGATATTCCGACGATTTGCAATTGGTAACAGAGGCTTCCGATATCGAATCGGTATGGCAAAATGGAAAAATTGCATCCATGATCGCAGTCGAAGGTGGACATTCCTTGGACTCGAATTTGGCTGTCTTGAGGCTTTATTATCAACTCGGGGTACGATATGTCACCTTAACGCACGCCTGCAATACACCATGGTAATTGCTTTAAGCAAATTAAATATTAATATGTGATTTAGAAAAAGCTTTTTCACCGACGTCGATCAAGTTCCTTTTTCACTGGCGTCGGTGAAACAGGCTTTTCTAAATACATACGTTGCCGACGTTGGCTTTTATATTGACAGCCGTGTCAAATTATATTGAGGATTATACTAAATGGCATACTCCAATTGTTTTTCAGGGCCGACTCGTCCACAGTGGAGGATAAACCCAAAAGGAACCTTACAGCATTTGGAAAAGTGAGTTTAGAGTGGAGACTTGACAATACGGACCGACGCCATTTTGTTTTCTAGAAGAGGCAAATTTGTAATCGCGAGATAACTACCCCTAGTAGCGTAGAATAATTTCTAAATATTTCTTTGTAATCTTTGCTAAATATCTCAAGCGACAGATTTTTTAAGATTTCTTGTAGATTTCATTCCAAGATATTTGAAATATTTCTTGACAATCTCAATGACATATTTAGTTTCAATAATTTATAAACATATANATTCATTAATTATGTATTTGCCAATGTTTCCTTGATTCCTGCTGAAATAATTTCCAATTGTTTTTAATTATTTCCGTGCATTTAATTCATTAATTATGTATTTGCCAATGTTTCCTTGATTCCTGCTGAAATAATTTCCAATTGTTTTTAATTATTTCCGTGCATTTAATTCATTAATTATGTATTTGCCAATGTTTCCTTGATTCCTGCTGAAATAATTTCCAATTGTTTTTAATTATTTCCGTGCATTTAATTCATTAATTATGTATTTGCCAATGTTTCCTTGATTCCTGCTGAAATAATTTCCAATTGTTTTTAATTATTTCCGTGCATTTAATTCATTAATTATGTATTTGCCAATGTTTCCTTGATTCCTGCTGAAATAATTTCCAATTGTTTTTAATTATTTCCGTGCATTTAATTCATTAATTATGTATTTGCCAATGTTTCCTTGATTCCTGCTGAAATAATTTCCAATTGTTTTTAATTATTTCCGTGCATTTAATTCATTAATTATGTATTTGCCAATGTTTCCTTGATTCCTGCTGAAATAATTTCCAATTGTTTTTAATTATTTCCGTGCATTTAATTCATTAATTATGTATTTGCCAATGTTTCCTTGATTCCTGCTGAAATAATTTCCAATTGTTTTTAATTATTTCCGTGCATTTAATTCATTAATTATGTATTTGCCAATGTTTCCTTGATTCCTGCTGAAATAATTTCCAATTGTTTTTAATTATTTCCGTGCATTTAATTCATTAATTATGTATTTGCCAATGTTTCCTTGATTCCTGCTGAAATAATTTCCAATTGTTTTTAATTATTTCCGTGCATTTAATTCATTAATTATGTATTTGCCAATGTTTCCTTGATTCCTGCTGAAATAATTTCCAATTGTTTTTCATTATTTCCGTGCATTTAATTCATTAATTATATATTTGCCAATGTTTCCTTGATTCCTGCTTTTCCAATTGTTCTTAATTAATTCCGTGCATTTAATTAATTAATTATATATTTATAAGGTCCGCGATGGTCTATCTTCGACGCCTCCTGGTGAAACTATTATCAGTAAAGAAGAACTTACCGATGGACAAAAAGAAGTAGCACTCACTCCTGGAAGTTGTCAGACTGCTGAGGAGTGAGTGATGTTCCAATTTACTTTCTTATTTATCATATTTATCTTGTATTTGCTTTGTTTATTCCTGTTTATATGTTTCTAGGTGGAAGGATGACCAAAAACCACCGACTAATCCTGATAAACCAACTGATCCTGATAAACCAACTAATCCTGATAAACCAACTAATCCTGACAAACCAACTAATCCTGATAAACCAACTGATCCTGATAAACCAACTAATCCTGATAAACCAACCGATCCTGATAAACCAACTGATCCTGATAAACCAACTAATCCTGATAAACCAACTAATCCTGACAAACCAACTAATCCTGATAAACCAACTGATCCTGATAAACCAACTAATCCTGATAAACCAACGACCGATTCTGAAAAAAATCCATCAAAGCAAACTTGAGCAGCAACCATCAACATCAACTAAGAAATCAACAAACCAAAACGCCTAGTTCTGAAAACTAAAAATAAGGAATTACAAGCAGATAAATAATATTATTATTTATATTCGTCATAGAATATTTTGTATTTTGCACAGACTCGTACAATGTACAGAAACACGTGCATAGATTTGTCAAAATTCCGGGGATTTCGAAGAGTGAAAAGTCGCCGAACATCTTCAAGCTTCAATTACTAAATTGTTAAATTAACAATTTACAGTAACTGTACCTGGTAGATATTTTGTTGACAAAGATATTCCCAGGCAATGGGTGCAACTACTGCCACCGTTATGGAAATAAATCGTTGATTTAAAAAGTAACACTTTTAAAATCAGGTCTCCCAAGTTGAAGATTCATGATCGTCTTATTATGAGGGAAATTAATTTTCATACAATTTGCAGAACACTTCCTGCGTGAAGTGTCTGCAATACATGGATGCGTGATACAGTATATATTTGAATAAAAATTTGCGGTAAATTTGTCACGCCATGACTCAAATATTAGATATGGACGCTGCAATTGTTTATCGGCAATGCGGAAGATAAATTTAGTTGCACATATGTATACAAACATTGAAAGATTGCATGCACTTAACTTTGTTTCATATTTAAGTATTTTTTGTTCGTCATTGTGTCTTGCGGATATGAGTTCCAAATGAGGACTCATAAGCGACGCCTTTATGACTCTTTTCATGATCTTTTGTGAGACGAATTTGATGAACATTTTGCATCACTTTGTCTACCTGGGTACGCATATGAGCAACAGACGCTGCAATTGTTTATCAGCAATGTGTGAGATAAATTTAGTTGCACATATGTATACAAACATTGAGACATTGCATGCACTTAACATTGTTTCATATTTAAGTATTTTTTATTCGTCATTGTGTCTTGCGGATGAGTTCCAAATGAGGACTCATAAGCGACACCCTAATGACTCTTTTCATGATCTTTTGTGAGACGAATTTGATGAACATTTTGCATCACTTTGTCTATCTGGGCTGTTTCAATATTCCGTAAGACATTTTCCGGCATCTTCCTTTCGAGGTCTAGAATGATTTTGTGATGTGCGCAGATAGATAACGCTTTTATAAGAAGTTAAGCATTTAAATTTCATATCTTCAGCATAACGGTGGGAGGGCAAATCCGTCACGGCCATGAGTATGATACATCTGATGTAACGACTGCTCAGTCAATAGTAGACGACGAATCAAACTTGTCAAACAGTTTTCATCCACGAGATGTTTACGTTACGTTTTCCAATAATTTCCTGGATTTTTGTTTCTGTGCTCGTGGGGTGTTTCATCGACTGCGAGGGAATTTTTTGTGGTGGTAAGGGGGATTTTTAATCAGATTTATCATCACGAAAATACTGCATATAATTTACAGGATGTGGAATAAATAATGACATTTCAAAAATAAACATTAGAATATAGGAGATAATTTCTCGAGACTTTTGATCAGATTTATCATCACGAAATTACTGCATATCATTTACAGGATGTGGAATAAATAATGACATTTCAAAAATAAACATTAGAATATAGGAGATAATTTCTCGAGACTTTTGATCAGATTTATCATCACGAAATTACTGCATATCATTTACAGGATGTGGAATAAATAATGACATTTCAAAAATAAACATTAGAATATAGGAGATAATTTCTCGAGACTTTTAATCAGATTTATCATGATGAAATTACTGCATATAATTTACAGGATGTGGAATAAATAATGACATTTCAGAAATAAACATTAGAGTATAGGAGATAGCTTCTCGAGATTTTTAATTATATTTATCGTCACAAAATTACTGTATATAATTTACAGGATATGGAATAAATAATGACATTTCAGAAACGGTACATTAAAATAAAAGAAGTAATTCTTCTCGTGAAAATAAAATACTTAAACACCTCCTTGATACATCCAACTTCGCAAATTGAAAGTAAAAAATTCGTTCTTTCGTGAAAATCGAATTTCCCTAAATCTAAATTCACTTTATCCCCATTCACTTTATATAAAAGAATTCGGCAAAATATTGTTCTCAACGGATTCCTACATTTTTGATAATATTGTCGCTCTTGACAAGTACACCCAATTCTGTGTTTACACGATAGATACGTTCCCGAAGAATACGTGTAAAAAAATTCCTGTAAAAAGATATATCGCATCTATGGAAAAATAGAAGATTGGTTCCAGTCCTGAGAAATCAGGAAAAATAATACAATAAACCATGAGTTTTCATGTTAGGATCTTAAACATTTAATTTCATAAAGATTGCGCATTTATCATACAAAGCAAATGATCAATTAATTCCTTGTCTCCAATGTCGCAGTTGTAAAAATAAAAGTGAAGTAAAATTTGCTTCTTAGAATTTGGGTCGATCGTGTTGAATAAAAATAAAAGGTTAAAAGGGAATTAAATTTCTTTTCTAATTAGTTTCAAATCAAAATCGTGTAAAAATAGAATTGGGTGTATAAGTTTCCAAAGGAAACATTTCAACGACCTTGAAGTAATCATGTCGAAAGCAGACTTTTTATGCGCGATTGTATCAAGTCAATTTCGTCTGCATGTTATCGGTATCTTTTGTCTCGACAATCAGTCATTAAAGCCCAGGTAAACATAACGACTCGAAGAAAAGTGATTATCGCCTTGTTTAATTAAGAACCGGTTGATACGAAGTCAAGGAAGCCGGAAGCTTAATTAGAACTACAACTCATTCATTGTACAATGGCGGACATGAATGCCTACCCTGCAGATACGACATCGCCTGTGCAGGATGGGAGGGCATTGATGTCTCCCAGTGTACGCGCCAGTAATTGATTAATCCCACCCAGAAAATCATGATCATCATATGTGCCCATAATTATGAAAGTGGTCTAAGTCATATATTTTTTGTTTCGAAATTACATTGAATTAATTTCGTTTGAAATAATATGGCGTGAAATAACTGATAAACTCATTTTTTTTTTAATTTTGACTTAGACCACTTTCATAATTATGGGCACATATGATAAGAAATATCGATTTACGAACAATTTGCGGGCCATTCGCTGCATGAAATGTCTCCAATATATGTACGCATTTTGCACAATAAATTCCAGCAAAAATTTACGGCAAATTTCTCATAAATGGTTGTAGCAATGTATTTACCGCATACTCGAGTCATATGCCAGTTATGACATAACCGACATTTATGAGATGAAAATTTACGGAACATTTAACAGGAGCTGTAACATCATTCCATGACATTAATTTCCGGACATTGTATGAAGTTAATTAATGCTACAAATGGGAGCTACATATGATCTCGCTCAATGTTCCCCTTTACATCACGCCATTACTCAAATATGAACTACGAACGCTGCAATTGTTTATCGGTAATGCGTGAGATAAATTTAATTGCACATATGTATACAAACATTGAGACATTGCATGCACTTAATATTCTTTCATATTTATGTATTCCTCATTCATAATTTTGTCCTGCGGATAAGTTCCAAATGAGGAGTCATAGGCGACACCCAAATGACTTGTTTCATAATCTTTTATGAGACCAATTTGATGAACATTTTGCATCACTTTGTCTATCTGAGTACGCATATGCTGCAATTGTTCATCGGCAATGTGTGAGATAAACTTAGCTGTACATATGTGTACAAACATTGAGACATTGCATGTACTTAACTTAGTTTCATGTTTAAGTATTTTTGGTTCGTCATTGTGTCCTGCGGATATGAGTTCCGAATGAGGACTCATAAGTAACACCCAAATGACTCGTTTCATAGTCTTTCATGAGACAAATTTGATGAACATTTTGCATCATTTTGTCTATCTGGGATTGGTTGAGCGCAGAAGAAAGAAGGTCCATCGATGAATACGACTTGCAGATTCGGCTAAAGGTTTATTCAGCATCTGCTTTAAGGTAGAACAACAACAATAAGAGCCTCAAATTAAAAAATTCATGAAACATGTTTCACAGTGACCCGAGTGGAGAGGGAAAATCCTTCGACGCCAATTTGAAAAATGCGGAAGACATCGTCCAGAAGATCGATTTCCAAAAGCCATTTGTACTTTACATTCATGGATATCTGGAAAATCCTGTTAATGAGAGCATTCAAACCGTCGTGGCAGGTAAGGTATATTTTTGCTGAAAAAAAAAAAATGGGGAAAGAGTAATTATCTAAATCGAAAAATGTTTATCACGACAGGACTTGAGAATTATACGAACTGAAGCGTTCCATACGTCATTTCGGTAAAGTAATGATGAAGAGATCGATGTAAAACTGTGAAATTCATTATTCTAACGACTGTTTAGCACCAACGTCGCCATCTGTGAGGTTTAGCTGCAACTAAATGTTCGCTCTAATAACACGCGTTAGCCCCGAGACAATCCAGCATTCTCTTACAATCGTTGCTGAAAGTATTTTCCATATTTTCCCATCTGACTCTGTAATATTCCATTTCTACGGTATTCTACATTGTTCGACCTAGGTCCTGAAACTCTTAATTTTCGATTCTAAGTCTCCAAAAAGCGTAAAACATCGAAAACGTGCCCGGACCACGCCATGTTGTTTCGAATCTATGACAAGTAAATAAATTTTGGATGAAAAATGAAATCTATATGTCGTTTCGGTAAAGTGATGATAAAAAGATCGACGTAAAACTGTCGAAATCCCGGGAATTCATTATTCTAACGACTGTTTAGCACCAACGTCGCCATCTGTGAGGATTAGCTGCAACTAAATTTTTGCTAAAAAAAACACGCATTATCCCCGGGACAATGAATATATTTTCCATATTTTCCCATCTGACTCCCTAACATTCCATTTCTATGGTATTCTAAATTGTTCTGACATTAATATTTCTATTCGTTATTACTACGATTATTCCCCCTGTGACGGAAAAACTTGATCAGCAGTGCTGTCCTTTGCAAAAAGTATAAATGTCCTTTTTTCTATGTAACATCTAAAGTGAATGTTTGCCTTTTTTCTTTCCAGCCTATCTTCAACGAGGCGAGGACAACATCGTCGTCCTGGATTGGAGCGAATTCTCGAGTGGAAATTATATAACAGTCGCGTGTAGAGTTAAACCAATTGCAAATGCGACCGCTAGAGCTCTGGAAAAATTCAGTCTTAACGGACTAGATTTGGAGTCTTTACATATTGTGGGACATTCCTTGGGCGCCCAAATTGCTGGTTTTATTGGAAAGTACATGCCCTCGCAAGTACCGAGGATCACAGGTGAGTGGAACCTTCACTTATGCCCGGTTAAACCTCGGTTAAAAATAGAAACCTCGGTTAGAACGAGTTGCACGTTCCACAACATTTTAGGGTGAAGGTAAACACGTCGAGGAACTTGATCGACGTCGATAAAGAAGATTTTTCTCAATGCCTACGTTGCCGACGTTCGTTTTTATATTGACAGCTGTGTTGAATTATTTTCGGTATTCTACTAAATTGCATGATCCATATATCGTTTTCGTATAATAATTATAATGAAATCGAAGTAAAACTCAAGAAATCTCCTGGATTTATGGTTTCTGAGGCTTTAATTAACTGTAGAGGGCATNATGTACGATATTCGTTAAATATATAGAAAATATAGAAGAAATATTTTGTGCTACTAGGGACATTTTTCAACCGAATTTCGACTCTTTTCGGCGGAAATGATTAATTACCTCGACGAGGAAATGTGTCTTGTGAATTTTGGAGATGGTAAATTATCATTTCGTTAACAGAAAATTGTCCTGGAAATGAATCGACTTGGGATGTTGGTGGATCTCTCCCACGTTTCACACGAAGTCATGAGAAACGTCCTTCAAACGACGAAAGCGCCAGTGATCTTCTCTCATTCCTCAGCATTTGAATTATGCAAGATGTATAGGAATGTCCCAAATGACGTTTTACAGTTGGTTGTAAGTACATCTTGAATATGGTTCTTTGAAATCTCACCATTTGCGGGAGAAAACTTATTGTTTTCGAATTCGGTATACAGGAAGAATTCTGAGAAGGAAATATTTCTCGAATTCTATCTGTGATTAAGGTGAAGTGAAACACGTCGAGGAACTTGATCGACGTCGATAAAGAAGATTTTTCTAAATGCCTACGTTCCCGACTTTCGATTTTATATCGACAGCTGTGTCGAATTATATTGGATATTGCACCAAATGGCATACTCCACCTGTCGTTTTCATACAATAATTATATAAAAATCGAAGTAAAACTCCATAAATCCTCTGGATTCGTGCTTTCTGCGGCCCTAATTGACTGCCGAGGGACCCCCTGCGCCATCTGTGATTTCCAGGTCCAGGAAAGTGTCAAGATAATTCCTAAGTGTTCACGAGTCACGTGTCAAAGTTTCAGACGTTTCGATTCAATACTCTTAAAAAAAACGTGTCTTATTCGGACCGACTGATATGAAGGGGGTTTCACTCCACCTTAAATGTTAGAAATTATGGATAATATCACCCGGCACATTTTTCTCTGTCCTTAAAAAATACAAGATTAATTAAGTCATCTAGTTATATAATAAATGAACCACGAAGTTAAAGCTTGGGGACTTGATCTTTCCAGAAAAAAAATGGCGGAGTGGTGATGGTGAATTTTTACAGCGATTTCGTGAATTGCAACGCCACGAGGAATGCAATTATGCAGGACGTTGTTGGTAAAATAATTTAATAAATGGATGATCTCACACTGAAGAAAAAAAAGTTCCTTGGACCAAAGAAACATTTCTTCTACCAGTACTAAAGAAATATATTTCTTTAATTCAAAGAATATTTATTTCGCCGAAATAAAAGTTGTCGCCATTCCGAAGAAACTTAGCATCCAATTTATTCCATTTTATTCGGATCTAATAATTATTCTTTGAATTAATAATATATTCCTCTGGTACTATTCACGTAAATACTTCTCGGGTTCATTGATGTTTTTTTTTTTCGGACTCTTTTTATAGCAAGTCGAGAGTAATTATAATTTCTTTCGCAGATCACATTAATTACATCCGACATTTCATCGGTGTGGATCACGTGGGTATTGGCGCCGACTACGATGGCGTGTCTAAGTAAGCTTTTCCTTCGAAATTGTTGCTTATTAATAAAAGATTACCCCTATGTCCATTTAATTACAAAATTAATGAGATGCACATAAATAATTCCCCAGAGTCCCCGAAGGCCTGGAGGACGTTTCGAAGTTTCCGGATTTGTTTGACCGTCTTCACCAAAATAAAGAAACCGAGCCCAGCTGGTCTAAAGGCGATTTGGAGAAATTAGCTGGAAGGAATTTCCTCCGGGTTTTCCGAGCCGTCGAAGAGGTGAGAAATCTTCGAAAAGAATTTCCTAACTCTTCTCAAAGCAAGAGGAAACGTTTGCAATGTGGTTGCATCGAGCATTGAGAATCTCGCTAAAGTTTCCTTGATTCCTGCTGAAATAATTTCCAATTGTTTTT